TTACTGTTCTCAAACTTACAGGAAAGAAACATGGGACTAAAATATAGCTTCAGTAGGCAATGCAATCTGCCAGTTAAACAGTTTTTTTGTGAAAATTTAATTTTTCACATATTGGCATTTTCAAGGTGTGACTTTGAAGTTCCACAGGCTTGAAGACCCATGCTTGTCACATTTTCTGAAAATCCATGATACGTATATTTTATTATTAAAAATTGATTGTCATTATGCTGGTAACCATTATGTAATATTGCATCAGAATAGAAGAAAACACAATTTTGGGTGCTGCTGCCATGATGACCATTATGGGAAAACCATGTTACTTATGATTGCGAAACTTTCAAAAAAGAAATACAGGACTAAAATGCAGCCTGAGTTGGAAAAGCAGTCTAATTGACTTCTTTTTCTGGAAGTTTTACATTTTCAAAGGGTGAACTTGAACTCCCATGGGCCTGAAGCCTTATGTTTGTTACACATTTTACTTACATTGGTATTACCTGTTGAGCATAATTAGAATTTGATGTGGAATTTGCAGTTTAACATAATGTACTTTTGCATCAGAATTGACAGTAGCCTATTTTGTTATTTCCTGCTTTTTGTCTGTACATTTGACAGCTTTGCTGCCTTGTTTTCTTTTGAGTTGTTCTTTTTGTAGAAAAGTTACACTTCCATCTATCTGTCCTATGTAAGCATGTAGCAGCTACCTTATGGCAGGAATAAACATGGCCGCCTGCTAGCATATGGACTGAAAATGTCCACATAAGTTTTGAGTAGATATCAAGCCCAACCTGGTTTTCACATATATCTCACCTTATATCCATGTCTTTTCAACCGTGAATAATTAGCTTGTCTGAGGCAGGGGCTAATATAAAAAATGAACATCTTTTATCCTCAAGTCATTGTGAGATTCTTCTTTTAATCAGCACTGCATGTAAGAATAAAGCGATCAAAATATTGATCACTAACAATGATTGGCCACTATTGCCTTTGTCATAGTAAAGAAAAAGCAAACAAACACATATCTGAACAGTTGAAAAAATTAAAAAAGCATTGAAGGGAGGTAGAAAGACATAAAATAAACCTGGGTGCAATCTTGATCCCTGATACTGCCTCATTTATGCCGTAGAGGAGTAGTCCCTCATAAAACAAATCTTCTAACACCTGGCTGTCCATTTTGTTGAGGAATTTAATGGCCACCAAGTTGCCCAACGACAGCTCAGAGTCCAAGAAGACGCTGCCAAAGGCCCTCTACGCTAGCTGGTGATGGATTTTGAAGTTCTCTTCGTTGAGCAGACCTGGGAATGGGGCTTTTTCGTAGAACAGATCAACATCCTTCTTGTCTGCAATATAAGGATAGTTGTTTGGATAATTGGATATTGCAATAATTGTAAAAATAATTCTAATGTAAATTGTAAGAGTGAAAAGTTGCACATTTCTGCAAGAGACCACTCTGATCCGCAATAGAAAGGCAATTTAAAAAAGGCGATTTCCCTGCAACAACCGGACTTATGTACCGGCTTAAAAGTTAAAGATGTTTTTGCAGCCACTAGAGGTTCATTACCTATAAAGATTACAGGAAATTGTTAATGTCATGTTAAAATCTAACACCTTGAATATGTCATACAATAGGGTAATTCTCATAAATAATGTGCTAATAGATGTAACACAAACAAACTACAAATGTATGTGGTATAGTAAGCAAATGCTTATTATTTCTTGGTGGTTCTTTAGATGTAGGAAATATATTAGTAAGAAATATTACATACAGGTAGATGGGGGTTCTTCTGTTTCTTGGCCCCCAACAACACCTTAGAGGGCCAATTCCCCTATAATCTCTCAATTAACTGAAATTTAATAAACAAAATAAAGATACACCTCACTTTAAGTAATATACAGCAATAGGTAATCAGTTTTGTTTATAACACCTTGCCTTTTTCATTATTTTTATTTATTATTATTATTATTTTTTTTTTTACAATTATATTTAAAACATACCTTTTGTTCTAAAGGGGACAGTTCTTTGGGCAGGGACCGCCCCCTGTCTTCCCCATACTTTCTCCGTTGTTTTTCTGTGTGTTTTGTCTTGGAACATAAATCTTATTTCCTACGTACACTTGCGTTGTCTCGGGGAACTTTGGACACAGTTGACGCTACAAGCAGGAAGATAGAGACCGATGTATGTTCCGATATTCACCAAGAACCCTTTAACTTCACATTAATGTTTCCAATTCTCTTCAATATGCTGTGTATAATGATGTAATTCCCTATGTTTATAAAAGAAGTAATTAAGTGGAGGATGGAATTGTAAGATTAAAATATATCAATAGTCAAGTCATCTATCTATTCTAGTGCTTTTGATTTTATAAATTCGGCACTAACCTTCTTGTAATTTCCTGCCACGCCTTCATTTTTGCCTCATTGGTTTTGCAAACAAAAATTTCTTAGATTCCAATCACCTGTTCTCACAAATGTATAAAAAGCAATCTCTGTGAACAAAATTTAACCAAAAAGACCATGTTTTATTTTGTGGGATAACTCTCTGGTAAACTCTGAGAATTCTGTTTGAGTTTCTTAAATATCATCAAAAAAATTACAGGTAAAAATCATTCTTCTCACCATTCCTTTCTCACAGTACCAATGTAAGTTACCTGTGATTTTCTTCTTTAACTCCTAAAATTCATTATTAGTAATACATAGAAAACTAATTACATTCCAGGCAAAAGGGTCTGTAAACTCAAAATTGAATTTGACAGGGTCAAAAGATGCTATATTGAGAACAGATTGATTTTTTTCTATTTCCTTTGCCATTGATAATAATCTGGATTGGACTTCAAGTAAAAGTATTGTTTTGTCAATTTTGTCATTACTCCCAGAATAACCATTTTTCCCCCATTTGCAGGTTGTTTTTCTTTACTTAAAATCTTGTTGACTTTTAAAAGCTGCTGAATTCTCTTCAGTGTTCTTTTGGAATGTTTTCTTGTGGTTCATCATTTTTAACAAAATTTTAGATGGATCACAGTTGGAGTTTATTATCAAAGTGCAGCAAGTGCAACACAAAATTTTGTTTCAGTACCTTCTTCCAGTTGAGCCAAATAATATAGCTCATGCTGAGTAACATAAGTCCCAGAAAAGCACAGATGAATGCAAATGCAAGTTTGTTGTACAGCACAAACTTTGGTGGAGGCATTTTCAAGGCAAAAGCTAACAAAGAAAAGAAAGGATAGAGCTTAAAAATGGAAAGCAAGGAAGAAACCAACATGCAATATGTAAAATTGTCAGCATCAGTTCTTGACCTTTTCTTTTTCAGCCTTGTAAGGGTGTTCTGTGTTGGTGTAATCTTGGTAACAAGCTCTGTGATATGCTTCAACTTGCCCATCTTACCAGTGACTCTTGATTGTATTGTAGCATGCATCTTGGCAAATGCCAGCTGCTTTTTTAAATGTATCCCAGCTTCATAATATAAAGTTTTGATACACAGTTGCAGGCACAATTTCAAACAGTGATATTGGACCTGTGTACAGAAGGAACTGCCGAAACTCAGTTGCTTTCCAGTATGCAATTTCAAAGAGTGATCAAGGTTTCCTTGCAAACTCTGATGGTATACTGTCTTTTAAGGCCACTAAACGTCTTGATATTTCTTGCAATACCCTATTAACAATTCTACAGGATAACGGGCCCTTCATCCACAGATTTAACAGCCTTTTCACTACCCCCAGACAAACAAGGTGCATATAATCAAGAGGAAAACATGACACCATTCTAATGTTTAGCTGAGATAAAGGGGTGGGTCCCATGTGATGGTCTTCATCATTTTTTTTATCAAAAGAAATATCGGTTCTGACTGTAGCATTGGTTTCAGGAAAAGGCATTTTTCCCATCCACTTGCCTGCTTGAATATACTGATCACACCCATGATAACCAGAGAAAGACTTGACATTTTTCACAAAGGGACTGGCAGGTGTATCACAAATGAATGAATGGATAGCAATAAATAAATAAATGTTTCCCATGACAGGGGAAACCTCCCTGAATTTGTTTAAATTCATCAATAAAATCATGAAAATATTCGTTGATATCATTGGGCTTTGCTGTGCCTGAATATAATGCAATGATAAAAGGCTTACTGTATTGGTTAGGAATATTTACAATTCTCTCCATTATAGGCCAGAAATTATGACCAGTACTCTTAAACAGAGGGAGCCCATCTACATTTATCTGGAGGCTAGGAGCAAAATTGTCAGATATACGCTGAATGTCTTGGATTTGATGGCAAAGGCTGTGAACAATCCCAAAATAAAAATAGTCTCCACCACATTTACTTATAATGTCATA